TTCGAGGAAATTGGCGTAATAACCTCGAACGTTCCATTGAAGAATGGACAACGACGAGAAGAGAAAGGACAAAAACAGAGAACAAGGAAGAAACAAAGGCGAAAGACCAACAGAGCACGTTAAAGAATATCAGGGTCGGGATCAGGGTCAGCAAAGTCAGGGTTAGGGGGCATGGGTAAACTGAGCAAAGACGGAGGGAAGGAAACGGGAGAACAGATCAGAGGTGGGCGGGCAGGGTCTGGAGGAGGAGGAGGAAGAGGAGGAGACAACGGAGAGGAGCCGTCAAGGACAGCAGCAGGAGGAGGGGGAGTAGAAAGAGGGGAGCGCACCCCAGCAAGAGCAGCAACCGAAAGGGAAGCAGGGGCCAAAGAAACCTCCATAGCAGGAACAGGGGGCGCAAGCACTGAAACGGGAGGGGAAGGAGCAACAGAGCCAGAAGGAGGAGCTGAGGAAGAAAGCGAAGCCTTCTTACCCGCCGGGGAAGAGGAAGGAGAGGAGCCAGGCTTACGCTTCTGACTTAAAGAGACCGGTGTCCCAGCAACTACGTACCGGGCAACGGATTCCAGTGTCTCAACAGGAGAAGCCGAACGAGAGCACACACGACGGCCGTTAGGAGAGCGATGGACATCCGCCCGCACCGACAGGCGGTGGGGAGAGCCAATAGATGGAGGAAGAGGATGGGAAGGAGGATCGGAGGGGGACGAGGAAGAAGACACAGAAGACACGACAGATCGGGTAGAAGGAAGGGGAACCCCAGACAGAGGACCAGGAGGAGGATCCTTCGGGAGAGAACCCAAAGGAACAGAGGAGGGGGCAGTGGGCGCATCAGGGTCCAAGGCCCGGAAACGGTTGCGAGTCTGAGGAAGGCGGGAAGGACGAGGAGAGGAAGAGCGCAACACGCGAGCATAAGAGATATTAGCATAAGGCGGGAGCCGGCGAACCTGGCGCCTCGCCTCAGGAAAAGATAAACGCTCCCGGTGCTTCAGGTTGAGGACGGCTGCCTCAAGCTTGTAATGGACACACGCACGGGAGAAGGTAGGATGGGCCTCACCGCAGTTGAGGCAACGAGCCTGGGGAGAAGTGCACTCCGACTTAGAGTGACCTTCGCCACCACACAAAGGACAGAGAGAGACAGTCCCGGAGCAGCGGAGGGCACCATGCCCAAACCTCCAGCACTTGTTGCAGAGCCGAGGAGAAGGAATGTACTCCTGGACAGAGCACCTGGCACCAGCAAGAATGACAGAGGGTGGAAGGGTCCTACCATCAAAGGTAATCTTCACAACCCGGAGGGGTTGACGGCGACTACCACGAGGGGGACGAGTAAACGTGTCCACCTGGAGAATAGAATGGCCCTGGGCAGCGAGGATATGGCGAATATCGTCGTGGCAGTCGCGCAGGTCCCGAACACCGGTTGCAACATGGGGCGGGAGCAAAATAGTGCCAACACTGGCATTCAATTGAGCGTTCTTCGAGACCCGAACGGGGGTCTCGCCAAGGCAGGATAAGGCAGCCAAGCGGGAAGCAGCATCCTGAGAAGGAGCAGCAACGACACGTGTACCGAGACGAGTGGGGTTGAAAGTAATGGAGGCATCCACGGAATCAATAAGATGTCGATGAAGGGAGAAATCGTCAGGAGGCGCAGAATCAAGAGGGAGGAGATCAACATATTTGGCCCACGAAGCGGGACCAAACAAGGCTTGATAGGTAGCAGAACTGGAAGGAATCGAGCGAGGGCGGCCGTGACGAGGACGGCGGTGAGAACCCCCAGAGAGAGAGGGGTTAAAAGGCGCAGTAGTTACAACTAGAGAAGGAGCCGCGCCAGGGGACGAGGTAGTCACCACTGGGGGCTTGGGGCTCGACCCAACCACAGAGGAGGGAGGGGAGCCAGGGGAAGGAGTCAGAGAGGCCAAAGGAGGAGCAAGGTCGGGGCCCAATGCAGCGGAGGCTACAGAGCCCGGTCTTCCGATACGGACCGACTCGGGGGCTTGGTCGCCCACCCCACGAGCCTGAAAAGGTAAGCCAGAAGCAGCCGAAACAGGGGTTATCATCTTGACGAAATTAAGAATTCACTCACGAATGTGCCCCCACACCCACCATGGAGCCACAATTAGAGGCAGGACACCCAACAAGAAGCTATCGCCGATCTTGTCGGGGCCTCCTAGGGGTGCGTCGTGAGTATACGCCCCACAAACGCCACCTTAAGAAACCACAAACGCCACCTTAAGAAACCGACAGTCCGTCGAGATCGGGTTCAGTGACGAAGTGGGGATTGACAATAAAAGGTTCCCCTCGCTCTCGACGTCGGGTACTGCAGTTCTACGGGTGCATGAGTATGCCTCCTCAAGCACCCAGGCGTCAAAATAGAAGAAGTCCATGGAAGAACCAGAACGAGCAAAAGGTCGGCAGGAAACGGCAAGCAGATAGGAGAAGAGGGGGGAGAAAAACGAAACAGAAGGAAAAGGAAAAGGTGCCCAGCAGAATTGGAGAGGACGGCAGCAGGAGTACAAGGCTAGAAAAGGACAGAGGACTGTCCTAAGGAGCATCACACTCCAGCAGCCGCCCACGAAGCCCCCACACGGCGACAACGAGCTGAGCGGGGAGGGGGTGTCAGGTGTAGAATCCAGATTGAGTTCAAAGTATTTAGTCCATGTAGCAGGACCAAACAAGGCGTGGAATGTATTAGCATTGGAAGGAACCATGCGAGCGCATCTGTTGGGGGGTTGGCGTCAATCATCCCCAGTAAGAGGGGGGAGGGGAGGGATTATAAAAGGTGCAGTTGTCACAATGATAGAAGTCACTCCAGGTGATGAGGTGGTCACCAATGGGGGCTTGGGGCTCAACTCTACCACAGAGAAGGGAGGGTCAAAGGAGTAGCTTGGTCTGGGCCCAAAGTAACAGGGGCTACAGAGCCCAATCATCCAACACAGTCCGACTCGACTCGGGGGCTTGGTCGCCCACCCCACGTGCCCGGGAAGTTACAAAAGGATTATTCAGCGACATAGAAACAAGGAGGTAATAATTACATTCACGAATGAGCCCCCATACCCACCATGGAGCCACAATTAGAGGATAGGACACCCAACAAGAGAAGACAAGCCGGGGCCCCTCCAGGGGTGCATCGTGAGTATACGCCTCGCAATTGCCCCCTTAACCCTTAAACTTTGCATGGAATATATACACAGTATATATATATATATACGACCGGAGTAACATGTCCCACCGTGTGCATGGCATACATATACGACATAAGGTGTTGGCCACGATTCAAATGGCCACGGCTACACGGGGTTCACATCAACTTCCTCAGGGCTCTCGTAAACAGACGCCATGTTTAAACAAAATCGTCGGGCAACATTCTCTGGTGTGAGAGTCATAGTACTGTATGAGCAACCAAGGCTGGCACATGCAGCATGAGCTAACAGCACTGCTGTTCAACTTGTGACCACAGCATCGCCTAAACATGACAAAATAAATATGTAACGGCTATTATTTAGCAATGACAGTATTACAGATGACCCCTGACTGTGATAAACACAACCAGGATTGTGATAATAGCAGAATTGTTGTGATAATTAGCGCTGTGTGGGATTAGTAATGCCGAGGGAGGGAGGTAGCATCATCTGCTGAATCTGAGTGGCCACCTGTTGTCTGCACTCACCATACCAGCTCAGTGGTTCTCTATGGTGAACACAAATGTAGATACTTATATGTAACATGCGTATTAGTATAATAACAGCAAAAAGGAGTATGTTGAGAGGAGCTATTTGGGTGATGGAAGTAGCATCGTCTGCATACTGTGTAAAGGGTGGCCACTATGCTCTTTGGGCACCATATCAGCTTAGTTGTACAGTTATGGTGAATAAAACATGTAGATATTTATATGTAACGTTTGTATATAGTGTAATAACACCACAAACATTGTTGGGAAGAATAGTGCATCTGGCCTTGAACCAGTGAGGGAGGCAGCAGCCAGCCGAGTGTGGCGACGTTTCTTACATTGCCTGAACCCACCATACCAGCTTAGTTGTACAGTTATGGTGAATAAAACATGGAGATACTTATATATAACATCTGTATATAGTGAATAAAAGCAAAAAAAGTATGGTGGGAGGAGAATGTTGGCTAGTGTGTTGTTGAGATAGGGAGTGGCGGAGAATGGCTGGCTGGCTGGTGTGGCAGCCACTCATTGCCTTTTGACTCACCATACCAACTTAGTGGTTCGTTATGGTGAACAAAAACATGCAGATACTTATATATAACCTGTGTGTATAGTGTAATAACAACAAAACTGTTTGTTGTTTTACAAACATAAAAATGTAATCACTAATATGCACACCATACTTTTGAGTATAGCAATGATTCACCCCTTTTATTATATAAATATATCACACTACACACTATTGAATATTACTACTGCAAAACAACTAAGAAAAAAATCAGACATTGAAATAATTAGGTAATATCTTTGTAGCAACTTCCACCTGACACCTGTGGCGGGGCTGACCGCTTCAGAGACGCTTCCTCTGTCACTGTCTACATTTTTCCAGACTTCCGAGGCCCGAGGCCAGGCTTTACTTGTGAGTTTGGTCCACCAGGCTGTTGCTTGGAGTGGCCCACAGACCCACATACCCACCACAGCCCAGTTGGTCCAGAACTTCTTTTATTAGAAAACAGTTTAGTTTTATCTTGAAGATGTCCACAGATGTTCCGGCAATATTTCTTATAGTCGCTGGGAGGACCTGAACAGCCGTGGACCTCTGATGTTTATACAGCGTTTTCTGATTGTGCCTATGGCACCTCTGCTCTTCACTGGTTCTATTCTGTATTTTCTTCCATATCGTTCACTCCAGTACGTTGTTATTTTACTGTCCTAAGGAGCATCACACCCCGGCAGCCGTCTACAAAGCCCCCTCACGACGACAACAGGCTGGAAAGGGAAGGGGTGATGGAGGAAAAAAAATGTGTACCATCACAGAAAATGGGTCAAATATACAAATGAGAGGAGCAAATCAAATATTCCTTTATTTACAAATTCTGGAAAACGATCAGAGGAAACTGCGAGGATACACATAGGGAAAACATTTTGTGTAGTCTTCCTTGCACTCTCCCCCAAACACTGGCATACAGTCAGATGACATGAGTACAGCTTAGCCCATCTACCTGTAGCTCATCATCTGCAGAATACAACACAATGCACACATGAACCAAGCTTACCTTTTCCAAAAAATATTAATTTATACAATGAAATTATTTTATGCCAATTGAAAAATTCTGCTTTCATCAAACATTTTGGTACAGTACAGTACTACACCAACACTGGTTTCCAACCAATCCATTTACAATTATAAGTTTGTCCTATATAACCCATCACAAATGAATCAACAGTGACAATATAGATTTTATAGGACAAATATAACAAAAATAAATGTATATACAAACAATATCACACTGGAAACTACATAGATCCAACCATAAACTGAGTGTCCCAGCAAGAGGTTCGATCACCAGAATGAAGAAAGTTTAAGCCAGCGTCCCATGCTTTGTGCACTTTTCTTCCATAGGCTAATATATTCAACTTAATTATCAGGAATTAACTATTGGTAATTATGAAGAAAACATCTTGCCCTTCATAACACTAAATAATAATTGGAAGTACATCTTAAGATTTAACATACCTTACATAAAAGTTTTTCACTGCACAGCTTTGATTTCTGATGTCATTATGTACAGTAGATTACAGTACATGCAAAGGACCAACTGGGTTTGTATGTTCAACTGGACAGTTCTACATATTTAAACACATGATGCCATCCTCTTGTCTACTAGAGCACAGTATACTGCTAAGGTACCTGAAGATGCATTGCATTTCAGTTAACTAAAACTTTGCCAGGCTTCTCTTACCAAACAAACTGGCTCAAGCAGAAATCTACCCAAATACACTTGCTCTCTTATTTTGTATAAATTATATACTGTTTCACAGGAACTGATTCACCTAAACATTTCTGATGTAAAATGAGCCAGATTAACAGCCAAGTAATGTGTTTATCTTCCCATTACCTTGTTAGATATTTTTCAATATGGAAGCAAAATAATAATGGGAAATCTGAAGCACTAACTGATGAAGCAACAACAGTTTATCTGACTGTAAAGTTCCCTTAAGTGGCAATACAATAATTTGCATTTTTATCAATCACACTTATTTTACCAATTAGTGTTTCTTACAAAACGTACCCTAACATGGCGTCACCATGTCGACTTTAAACTAACGCCTCCGAAGAAAGGACGATGCCCACGAACTTGTAAAACTCTTTTGTTGTCGTTCTTCTTCAACCTTCTGATGCAACAACAACTCTTGCTCCTGTGCCTTACGATGGTTCTCTCGAAAAGCAGCAAGAGGGTTATCGAATGTGCGGTAATAATCAATGACTTCACGAACATCTGACACTTCTGATTCTGCAATAGCTGTAATATAAATAATTAATTATAGTACCTATCGAAAGAAAGGCAGTAAACCACAATGGTTATAGTCTTAAGCGATAACTTCAAATTGCCTATACATCACTCAGAATACCTATATGGTAGCACAGTGACATACAATTATCATATGCAGGTAACTAGCCAGCCATGTGGGAATGAACTTGAGGGAATAAGTACCAGAAGGAGACTGAGCAGGGGGCCAGATTCACGAAGCAGTTACGCAAGTACTTACGAACATGTACATCTTTCCTCAATCTTTGACGGCTTTGGTTACATTCATTAAACAGTTTACAAGCATGAAAACTTCCCATTCAACTGTTGTAATTGTTATAAACAGCCTCCTGGTGCTTTGGAGCATATTAACTGTTTAATAATTGTAAACAAAGCCGCCAAAGATTGAGAAAAGATGTACAGGTTCGTACGCGCTTGCGTAACCGTTTCGTGAATCTGGCCCCAGGAGACTAAACTTTTCACATCAGTATTGGGTTGAAGGACAGAAACAGCTGACAATGACAGGGAGATGAATGCTGCACTAGGGTAACCCTCTATTCCCCACATTTCACTTAGTACGAATAAAACATCTGTAAATATAGCCGCTTCTTTGAAACTACCTTTTTCATGCATAACATTATTTAACAAGATGATGCAGTAGTGTGGAAAATATAGCTAAATTTAATCAATAATTTAATTCCCCTTTGTCAGGGACAGGAAGTCTGTGTGTATACTCTAAGCATATATTGAGGTCCTCTCTAGGTCAAACTATTAACCCTACCCAGGATGAAACCCTATAATATTTTGTAACTCTTGGGTGCCTGTTTACTCTTAGGTGAACATGTGCATTAAGTGAAAGGAAACATGATCAACTATTTCTGTCCTGCCTGGGAATCAAACCCAGGATCCACAACTGAGAGTCAAGACTGTACTACTGTACTACGAGACCCTTGGTGAATATGGTGAATAAATGGAACGTCTTCACGGCTGATGCATCATCACCCCATGAAACTGAGAGTTAGAACTAACACTGTTAAATACTAAGTCATTATTTTGTTTATTCTCATGAAACCACATACAAATATTTTCCTTATTTTTAAAATGGATACAGAATATGCATAACTAAATTTATGAATAAGATAATAATGGTACTAACAATAATCAAGCATCATTATCAAAAACTTACTGCGCAGCATGAAGCCCAACTCTAAGAGAGATTGATTGTTCATATCACCATCCCAGCGATCAACCTTGAGGTGGTTGCGAGGAGACGAGACTGCATCGCTGTCCCAGTCTACACAAATCACCTGGAATGTGAATCCACATGAGACCGAGCCATCGATATTTGCATTAGTGTTTTATCAAAGTACAAAGTAAAAAAAAAAAGCCACCGTTGAATGTAATGAAACGTCAGTTTCTGGGCGAGCCCCGGAGGCTCCCCAAAGCTGCCATACTACTTGGGGTCATCAGTTGCAGAGTTCTTGTTGCCTACCGGGGACCAGCGCCAGAACCTGCCCCCCCCCCCCCTCAGAGGTGCAGGGAGCAATGGCTCATGAACACTTTAAATTTAAAGTTTATCATCTTCACCATCAACTAGAGAACAACTCAAAGAGGAAGGCGAATCAAAACAGACTACAGTATGGTTAAAAAACGAGACTGTAGCACTTTCCCAACAAGAAACAAACAACCAAAACTTCATCAAACCAGCCGCCCACTAGCTAGCTCCACCATCCCCCTCATTTGTGGAAAAAGGGAGCCGGCCCTGGTCAGCTGGGCCAACATCAGTCAGTTCTGGAATTATGAAAAGCCGCCGATCTTATGGAGGGAGGGTGTGATCAGGGTGCCTCCTGGACTCACCCAGAAACTGGCTTTCGTTACATTCAGCTGGTTTTCTGAGGGAAGCCCCGTCGGCTCCCTGAAGCTAATTACCCACAGAGAAAAGAAAATAGAAACAGGGACTTACCAGGAAGGCAAAAGCACTGCAGGTATCACACTTTGAAGGAGAGACTGATGGTCGCGGAAGATGCCCCTGGACAACAAGGCCGCAGAGAACTAGGTACATTGACAAAATATCCGATAGCCAAGTCCCTATTAGGCCACCAAAACCTCCGTGCCCGAATATCAACCCAAGACATGTTACCAAAAACAGCCGACAAAGCAGCATACTGTACTGCAACCAAGAACACAAACTGAAGCGGCTCTACTAATGCTGCACGATAAGAAACGACAGTATTCGGCATAAGATGCCGATCGAGGAAAAGGCAAGAAAGGATAAAACAACCTAGTCGGAAGCGGAAGGAAAATAACAGAGAAAGTGCCGAAAATACTGCCAAGAAACCTCATACTGTCACTAAAAAGACCACAGTTGGGACACCATCAAACCAGCCACCTGTTCCACCATACAAATGGTGATAAATACGTGTCAAAAAGTCCAGACGCATAACGCGGAAGAAAAGGTTGAACCAGTGAAGTATGTCACTCACTCAACCTTCTGAAACAGGCGGAGATGTGGAAATATGCACAGGTTCCGACACCGAGCAAGCAGCGCCTGAATGCAAGGCTGGGCTGGCCACCAAGGAACCGGAAGAATCACTCTCCCCCTGTAAAACTCTAGCCGTAACAGCACTGGAGCAACAGCCAGACCAGGGAAAAGAGGTAGATCCGCCCCCCCATCTCAACCAGTCCAGCCAAAAGGCATCTACCACGAGGGCCTACTGTTAGGGCTCGAAAACCAAGCCTCCCGGACGCACAGCAGATCAGAAAAAGGATGGCAACTCGCCGAGGAAACCCACAAGAACCAAGAAATAATCTCTGGAAAAGTACACAACAAAAGGGAGAAGCTGAAATGAAAGCCAGGGCTCATGCTGAATCCAAAGAATGAGCCCGCACAGCCTGCTGATATGTGAGACGGGAGGTCTCTAGCTCGAGGTTCCCAGTAGGCAAAGAACTTCAATTAACTGATGCACTAAACTAAAATAATGGATATCAGTCCATTAGCTGCAGGGAGCCTCTGGGGCTTCCCCCCAGAAACACTCCCAAACCCAATGTAAGACAAAGCCCCAAACCCCCAGCTTACCTTAAGGGGATGAAGCCCCCTAATGGGAATGTTTCCTGAACATCCCGTGGAAGACAACCCTGATCATGCAAGGGTAGTATTTACAGAGTGTACAGGTAAGAAAACCCTAAACACATGCAGCTGCAGTACACTAAACTATTGACTCATGCACATTCCCATGCAAGGAAACAGGCTGAAATGCAAAAACACCACTCAAAAACTGGAGATTGGATCCAGAAAGACTGAGACTACTAGACACAGACATTAGTCAAGAACTGGCCGGTGACGGTTCAGCTGGCCTGGACCTTCTACCTCTTCCCCAACCCCAACCTTTAACCCTCAAACCGCTAGGGGCCCAAATGGAATTCACACCCACAGGCGCAACAAAAAAAAAAATTCCAAAAAATTCTTTCGTCTTATAGAAGTGTTCATTTTTGTTCCCTGATCACGGAAAAAATAACAAAAAAATCGTAGGTGGCATATTTTAGCCGCAATAGGGTAGGGAAGTGTGGCAAAAAAGGGGCGTTGGCAGAGCCTTCGCCAGATGAGGTCTACTCCGCCCGAGCTGTCAGACGGCAGTTGCCACAAATATATTATTACCTAATTATTTCAATGTCTCTGATTGATTTTTTCTTAGTTTTTTTGCAGTAATATTATTCCATACAGTGAATTGTGGTACATTTATATTATAAAATGTGTGAACCATCGCTGTACTCAAAATTATGGTGTGCATATTAGTGATTCAATTATTATGTTCATAAAACAATAAACAAATAGTTTTGCTGTTGTTACACTATATACACAGGTTATATATATAAGTATTTGCATGTTTTGTACACCATAACGAACTACTAAGTTGATCTTGTGAGTCAAAAAGCAACGAGGAGTGACCGCCAAACACCAGCGAGCCACTCACTGCCACTCCCTCCCTCAACACCACCTCACTCACCCTCATTCACCTCCTACAATACTCTTTCTGTATTTATTCACTATACACAGACGTTATATATACGTATTTACATGTTTTGTTCACCATAACTGTACATCTAAGCTTGTATGGTGAGTAAAGGCCACAAAGACGTAGCTACTCACACAGTCAGCTGGAGGCGGCCGCCCTCAAGGCCAGACGCACTAATATTTGTCCTCCAACAATATTGTTTGTGGTGTTATTACGCTATATACACACATTATATATAAGTATCTACCTGTTTTATTCACCATACCTGTACAAATAAGCTGGCATGGTGCCCAAAGACCATAGTGGCCATCAGTAAACAACATGCCAAGACGTGCAGACGACGCTCTTCCCTCACCAAAATGGCGGCTCCCAACCTACTCCTCTCGCTGTTATCACACTCTATACACACGTTATATATAAGTATCTACATTTGTGTTCACCATATCGAACCACTAAGCTGGTATGGTGAGTGCAGTCAATAAATGGTGGCCACACACAGTCAGAAGACAACGCCACAACCCTCCCTCGCACAGCCTTACGCCTCCCTCCATGGAGCACAGCGCTAAATATCACCACAATCCTGCTATTATCAGAATCCTGGTCAGTTTTATCACAGTCAGGGGGCTTCAGTAATACTAGCACTGCTAAATAATAGCAGTATCATATATATTATGGTATTTGTAGGCGATGCTGTGGTCACAAGCTGAACAGCGGTGCTGTGAGCTCATGCTGCGTGCGCCAGCCTGTAACACTGTAAAAGTGTTTGGTTTAGTTTAATACATACATAGAGTACATGAGTCACAGACAAGGATCTGAGAGGCGCCAGTTTGTCGGCCTGAGATCTCACACCTCAAAGCGTTAATGACCTCAAGTGACCTGAGGTCAGATCATGAGAATTTCACCTTGCTTCCGCTAAGCTTACAATTGGAGCCTGGTAGCCTTCAAACATGCCGACGTTTAAGGAGTGGCTTGGTAGTGCCGGAGGCTATCTACTTGTGGGCGGAGTTAGCTACTAGGTTCCCCAATATATACTCGGAGAGCTATCCAGCATTGAAGCATTAAGACAACAGAGCAGACGAGCCAGCAGAGCAGAGAAGACGTCCCTAGCAGGGAGGCTGTCGGCCGGCAGGGGCGAGACAGTCTCTGTCAAGCTACAGACCCCCCCCCCTCTCTATTCAACTTAGACTCAGTCCTCGGTGAGTGAACATTAAGGTGACTTGGTCGTGTTTACATATGTTGTGTGATGATCAGGGGCAGTCAAGTTGTAGGGTTCTCGAATTCTTGGATGATGACTCTCTTTAACATTTTAATTGGATTGCTTATATTATGATACTTAGTATGTGAAATACATGAACTTATTATTTAAATCGTCTTTGTTCCCTAGAGCTTTGAGTTGAGGTGAGAAAGCCTCGGTGGTTACTAGATTCAAGATATTAATGAGTACTTGTTTGGAGTTGATACATGGTACAGAGGGAACATACTAATAATGAACTCATGATAACATCCTTTGAGAATTTTGTGATACAGGCAAGTTCCATTCCTTGTCTTGTATGTAATGATCATGAATGGATGGTGGCAGCATTTCGTCTTCTATCTATTCTACTATCTACTTCTACTTCTATCTACTCTTCTACTCCTACCTATCTACACCTCTCCCTCCACCCCTCTCTAAACTCTCACTTTCAACTAATGACCCTCCTCGCTCCTCCCACCTCTCTGTCTCTCACCCCAAACCCTCACTAATTACTTCACTATTCATTTCTTTCCTTTCGTTTCCTCTTATACGTTTGTGGCAATGATTCTGTATTCTAGAGTTCTCTCTAGAGTTTCGGGTAGCTGATCCAGTTACGGCGCCTTGTAGTCTTAGCACCTAGGTAGTCAAATACCTAGGTTACAAGGTGTTGAACGAGAGAGGTTGCCTTAGGAACTCTGGAGGTGCTCTAGAATAGTTAGCTAACTGGGGACGGGATAACGGACTAGAGAGAGCTGTTTCCCCCGGCCTCGTTAGTTAACTGGGGGGATGGAATAATGGACAAGATTTTCCCCCACCCCCCCGTTACAATGGTGGCAGCGGTGTTGAACAATGTTGTAGGTAGTTGGTGTTCTTTTAACATTGTTCAGTCCCACGTGTCTTTTTGCCGCTCAGGCGCTATCAGGGAGATCTTGACAGGTGTTTTACTTTCGCGATTTAGCGAGTTTTCAGGTTAGGAGATTGTGATTCTCTGGTGTTGTGTTTAGTGATTTTGTGAGTTTTGTGTAGTTCAGGGAATGTTCACCAGAACTTGCGTGTGTAG